TATTTAAGCAGGGTAACATCTAACGATCACTGGCTAACTATATACACAGACATACCACATACTCATCGCTAGTGCAAAGGGCTTGAAGTTGCATTTTTCTCTAATATTTTTGTACTTGTCAAAGTAAAGTTTCCAGTTGCATTATTAAGAAGTGCTATAGTATGTTTTTACATTTTACAAAAGACTCATGTTTCCTCCTCCTCCATTTCCATTATATTTATTAAATATAGTATTTAGCTGTCATATTTATGGTGTAGTACTATACCCTGTTGTTGCTTTCTTTAATATATAATTCTCTGACTTTTAAAATATAACTGATAAAACTTTTCTGACGTAGCTATGGTTCCCTCTTAGGCAATGCGGAACCCATAATTAAATACAGGTGCTCTGGCACTTACTTCCTGTGGTCACAATAAATCAGTATCATGAAGGTGCATGAAATCCAGTTGAATGATTAGATCCTCTAATATGATTGATTTGACACCTTTTGTGATATCAAACACTGGCTGAGATTGTACTTACAGCTTTGTAATAGGTCATTTGAATTTTACATTTTCAGTTTAGATGGTATGTTCTATTTGACATCTGTGATACTTTGGAAGATGCTCTTGAGAGCATCAAAAATTAAATGAATTCTATGCGGTGTTGGCTGAAAAAAATTTCATCACCATCAAGAAGGTTGTTTCAGCATATGTTAAAATCTCACAGACTCAATACTATCAGTAAATCACTGTCTTTATTAGTTTCTGGAAATAATTCCAAAAACTTAAAAATATTTTGTTTTCATGAGTCAGTTTAACTGTCTATTTAAATATAATATTCATTTCTCTTCAGATAGCACATTGAATTTAGTCAATATGGACACACTGGTTATTCTACTGCAAGATTCACAAAGTGTGGGTGTGTATTTTTACCTTTATTAGAGATATCAGCATAATATGTAGAACTTGCAAGTATTATATTACTATTCCTAGGATCCAGTATATACACCATCTTCCATATATTAGAACTAGCAGTGAAGTTTGGACAATGTTCCTATTCACCACATTATGTTTTTAAATCAACCACAGAAAGAGAATGAAAATAAGTATATAATATTATATATGAAACAGCCAAATTATATGTTAATAGAAAAAGATTATAGGCAATCTGACTAGTAAAAGTAATACTTGCTTATTTCATTAAACCAGCCTGTGTCCCTTATTACTTAGTAATTATTTCTTGGTAATCATTACTTAGTAATTTATTACATCTGATTCAGAAAAGCCTTGCCCTCTGATTTGTAACAGAAGTTGTCTTTGCTAGTATCATATAACATTCTCTAGTTTACCTATGTAACCTTTGCAATCCCAAAGAGCATCTGTACTCATCTCTTCTGACTGCCATGCCAGCACACACTTTATTTTGAAATGAGTCAACAGTTAAATTCACAACCTTCTCTAAAATTCTGATTTGGAATTACTGCTTTATAGAGAATTCAAGCTGATCAGCTATTTTAATACTTCATTCAGTCTGGTTAATAATATACAGAACAACAATTATTTGACTAAAATTAGAAAATATATGGTCATTTAATGTAAAGAGCATTACCTTGTTTATATTTGTGTTTGTGTTAGATAAAGTAATGAGAAATGAAGCAGAAAAATAATTATTTTTTACAAGCACATAAAATGTGTTTTCATTTCAATTTGGGAAACCCTAGGTCAGAGCTTTTCATGCTATTAGTGATGAAATGATGATGAATATTTGATAGGCTGCATGTCTCGACTGATACTGAACTGATACATTATGTTGTTGACTCATGGAAATTTATTCCACATTGTATTTCGAATAATTATTATTCTTATGTGATCAATTTGTCACTCTCTCCTTCACTGTTCTATTAGGGTTAAGGCTTTTTTTTCTAAACCCCAAGTGGAAGAGGAGTTTGCAACCATACTCACAAAATACTTGGTGAACAATAAACAAATAGAATCCCAGTGTTTTTGATTATATTGTACTTATTGTTTTCTTATCTCTTGTAGTCTTACAGCCTGATTATTTAAATGTTCTAGTCAGGAGAGCAGCCGTGTATGCCTTTACTTATCATGTAAATCTCACCTCATATTCAAGCAAATACGATCCAATACGCATCCGTGACATTTGTCAGAATTCAAGCATAGTGATAGACTACTTCCTTCTTAATGCTATGATTATTTTCTAGCCCTTATATACTCATAGTCTTATGACGAATCAGGATATTGTGATGAATGAGTCAAGAGGCAATAGATTGCTTATTCAGTTTCTTTCTCATTTTAGAGAAAAAAAATCAATTTTCAATGCAGGTTGATGGAGTTCCTCAATGATTTGCACATGTTCCAAAATGACACAGTTCCTCATTTCTATCTTTAGCAAAATATAGTTTCCAGTTATTTTTTTCTTGACATCAAGGCCCTAAAAGGATTAAACCCTCCCACAAGCAAACACCATATAAATGAGCTTATGTATATAGTCCTCCATGCTTAGCGGCAGTGACTGACTCTTTATAATATCAGCATCCTCTAGAATGGAAGCACTGAAGTAAAGCAACAGGGCTGATTCTGGTCCTCTCTCCTTGCTTTCTGTGGCCCTCACATCCATAATCTCCAATATCTTGTCAAAATACATTGCATAAGGTTTTGCTGTAAAGTCTTCCTTTCTAACTGTTCTTTATTCTCAGCCTTATAGCATATATGTTCAGGTTGTAAGAAATAACAATCTGCAAGGCTTTGCAGCATGCCACCCACGATTATAAAATATTTTTCCCAACCAAATCATAAACATGTAGTTTAACCAAAAGGCATTCTAATTGTCATGCTATGTTGAGTATAAATATAAATTCAAGGCAGCCAAACTATCCATTTCCAAATAAGAATGTATACCTACACTCATTAAAAATCATCTGGAAATGTGTATTATTAGCAAATGAGTAAGAAATTTTCACTAGTATAAAATTCCTGCTTTATATAAAAGCCACACTGGCCATTCAAGTATTTGAGTTTTTTTTTTCCCTATAGTTTTTGTAATTTGTACTGAAATGATGAATTTAGACTTGAAATTATATTAGAAGAAAATTAAAAGTCACTTCTACCTATAGGGCATTTTTAGAGTGTGCATGTAAGAGCAAAGTGTCCATCTGCAGATCTGCCATTTCTTTCTCTCTCCACTCTAAGGAAACAGCTCGCGCTTACTAGGTTTTAGAGAACGATTAACAATCCAATGGAGAAGCAACACCAGATTTCCTTCAGTTTGTGCCAGTTTGCAAGTTAAAGGTCAAAGGGCAAAGACATAGAACAGGACTCTTCAAGGAAAATTTTCACAGAAGACAATGTTTGAGTTGTTGTTAATGACAGTCAATAGATCAATAATCAAGTTCAAGGCAAGCTGTTCATTGTTTCAAAAGCTAATCCCCTCAAAGCTGGCTTTCACACAAAGCCAATGTCTGACTCATGGGGTGCGTTCATTCTGACCATCTCTAATAAGTTCACAGCCCAGTGGCTGTAAAGCCTTTCACTGCAAGAAGCAGCTCCTAAAAATCAATAAAGAGGTCTGTCAGTTGCTGACTTTTCTCTAGGAAAAAAATATTGATACAAACCTGCTCTGCAGGTCACATGAAAATGACAATACTGCTGTTAGGACAAATTACACTCAACAATGAAATGCTTTGGTGGTCTCTTGGCTCTGTCAGTGATCAAATGGATGGCCAAACGCCAGAAGCCACTCTAACCCTTTGAGAACTATGGTGGACATGCGATAAGTAATGCACTGGAGGCTACTCATGCAACCTCAGAGTCACCATTTTAATTCACTTTTAAAATGGCAATGCTAACTGCCTATACCAAGGCAAATTAAATTTTCATGCAATGGATTTTAAAACAGAAACTCAATACGATTAAGGAAAAAAAAAAAAAGACTTAGACTGTTATAACCAGTTGTTCAAATAAAATTTCACTCTTATGAGATACTTAATAAAATACCTTTTTTATTTGCCAGAAAATTTTTGGCAAGTAACATCATTTGTTATAAATGCATTCATGTAGTACTGTTAAATCATTTAAAAATTACATGGGATTATAGGATATCTGTTTTAAAAACCTGAACTTGTGACTGTTTTCACCATTGCCCAGTTCTACAATTTACCAGATAGCAAGACTGACAATCCTAAGACTCTGAAAGCTAGTCTGATAGTTCTCAAAGGGTTACACCAGTGTATTACTGGTGTCACAAATCTTTGTTAAAAAAACTGTCACTTTAATCCACTTCAAAGACATACTGCTTCTTGCTCTGCTTTGTAATGAATATTCCTGACAGATCCATGGAAGGCCTGGGGCAATGGCCTAATACATCTTGGGAAGAATATTACAATGATGTAGGGCAAGGTGGCAAGAAGGGGTTTAGAAACACTTCAAAACAATTAAAAGATCCTGTTTGAAAATAGCTATGAGTATAAATGTGATGAACATTGAGGACATAGCTGAGAACAGCTGTATAAAACGAAAAATGGATGTATTATTAAGGCTGTTACTATATTGCAGATATTTTGGCCCCTTGTTTGTTGGAAAATGGCTGTCCCAACAGTCTAAAGTCCTGCATGTGTATTCCAAATCTCCCACCTGACAAAATGGTGCGTAGGAGACTATCCATAGCAGTCAGAGAGCTATCTTCTTTGGAGACAAAGCTGTTTTGGGTCTTCACACTTTCCTGAAAGTTCAATTGTGAGTTTTTTGTTTAAACTTTTTTTTTTTCTTTGCTTTAAAGCAAAAAATTGTGGGCTTTCTGATTTGCTTTTTTTTCCCCCCAGAAATGGGCTCAGACTTCAGAAGGAAAATAATATTAGAAACCTTTAAGAAGAATCTTTTCTTCTTGTTTTTTCCTCTTCTTTAGTTAATCCTGAAATTTTACTGGGCATTGAGCGTGCAGAGGAAAGGCCTAGAACTGAATGACAAAGAAAGACAAAGGACTGAAGAACAGCAGATACTGTGCATCATGGAAGCTTCCCCATGAGTGTATTTCCACTCATGCGCAGGACCAGCAACCCTCTGGGTTTGAAAGGTCAGCCCCGAATCAGGCTGCCACAAGCCTGCTCCTAGCTAGGAAACAGCATAACAGCTCTTGTCTTGAATCTCAAGTTACCACAAACTTCTGGAAAAGAAAGAAAGAAAAAAAACCCTACATCACACCCACTCTTGCATAGAGCGTTTACAGTACAGTATGTGGCGGGGTGTTCCTTTCCTCTTGAACTGGAACACAGTGTAAACCAAGACAAGGAGGCATAAGGCCAAGATGCAGGGAATGACAATAGCTATGGCTTTCACAGTGCTGGCTGTGTTGTCCAGTTTGATGACAATGTCTACATCATCTGGTGGGCTGTGTCCTTCTTTAACTCTGTCTGTTGGTCCATCACAGCCCATAAAATCCTTGAGGATGGATCTTGGATATCCAGGTTCTACCTTGAGTATCTGATTGTTGAATTTCCAATACTCCTTTCCTTTGTAGAAATACGTAAAGCCTGGAGGGAAAACACACACATACATACACGGGTACCACTTATTTGTGAACATGTATATGTAGAGAAATGTTACTAAAATAGGTTACTTCTTAAAAGATACAGTTTAAGGACCTTTAATTTTCATAAGAAATACTATTCTCAGCTCAACTGTCTGCTAAAATGGCTCTGGCTGCTGTGCTCCAGGACTGTGCCCTCTAATGCCTATGGAAAGCTCAGCCTAGAGAGAAATATTATTTAAAAAGAATGGCTGAAAGACCATACTATACACCTGTGGTGCCCAGCCTCTGGGCTGTGGATGGCTACCGGTCTGTGGCCTGTTAGGAACTGGGCTGCACAGCAGGAGGTGAATGGTGGTTGAGTGAGCAAAGCTTCATCTGTTTTTACAGCTGCTCCCCATCGCTCACATCACTGCGTAAGCTCTGTCTCCAGTCAGATCAGTGCTGTCATTCTCATAGGAGCACGAACCCTACCATAAACTGAGCACACAGCGGATCTAGGTTGTGCTCCTTATGAGAATCTAACGCCTGAGGATCTGAAGTGGAGCTGAGGCGGTGATGCTAGCACTGGGGAGTGGCTGCAAATACAGATTATCATTAGCAGAGAGGTGTGATTGCATAATAAATGTAATGAGTTTGAATCATCCTGAAACCATCCCCCCATCCCAGGTTTGTGGAAAAATTATCTTCCATGAAACCAGTCTCTGGTGCCAAAAGGGTTGGGGACTGCTGCTATACACATCCACTGCTAGTTCACGCTAGAAAGAGAACTTTTGCTCACTTATAAGATTGCTGTTACAGAATTACACGTTATTGTGATAATGATAATATCAGCCTATATTGAAAGAGGCCGAAACAGCCTTATAAATAGAAACACTGTTTATTATTAGGCTGCTATTGAGGACATTGTTCAATGCATTATAAAGAGGCTTCTCCAGGAAACACCTCAAGGGAAATTTCTAATTATCTTAGTATAAGGAATCATTGTGCTCCTCTTAAACAATAGGTTTCCTTTCATCATTTGGACCAGAAATCATAATAAACCATAAATCTTAAAACTAAAGGTGTTTTTCTTTGTCTGCTAGAAATCTTAACAAATAAATAGGTATTCATGCTATTCCGTGCTCGAGCCCCATTTCCAGTTCTAAGTCATGAACATTTTGCTCCTTCTCCTTTTGTCCTTTTTAACTTTTTTTGTTTTTTGAGACAGAGTCTCACTCTGTTGCCGAGGCTGGACTGCAATGGTGTTAGCTCACCTGCAACCTCAAACTCCTGGCCTCAAGTGATCCTCCTGCCTTGATCTCCCGAGGTGCTTGTATTACAGGCGTGAGCCACTGTGCCTGGCCCTAACTTTCTTATTTACTTAGTTTATGTTAAATTCGTGCCACCTAGCTATATTTTATAGAACTTTCAAAGCCATTATTACTCCTTTGAGGAATAAAATAGAACATAAAAAAATGTACAATTCTATCTTTAATACTTCTGAGTAACTTATATTTCATGTGGGAGCAAGTGGTATGGGGGAGGCTCATATAAATCATCAATACATATAATTTATGTTCTAAAACATTATGGTTGTAGACCACAGACGTTGTAAGCACCTGATAATTAAACTACAAATATGTGCATTTTTCTTAAGACTATTCTCCCAATTTTTTTGTTTTTGTTAGGCACATACCCATTTTTTTCTTTCTGTTCATAGCTCATTCATGTCAAGTTTCGTTGTGACTATAATGTTGGACTTAATTCTTGTTTTGAGATAAAATTCAAAAAACCAATAAGAAATGTTTTACGGCTATAATTACTTAAAAACTATATTTTGGGAGTTATGTACTTTGGATAAAAGGCATAATTTAGAGTTTATAATCACCAATGTGGGTTATATTTTTTCCTATTTTATTGAGGACTTAATATGGAAGAGGCATTGTGTTAAAAGTTTAGTAGATACCCTCTCTTTTAATCCTCACAACTACACTCTCAGGAAGAATTAATTACCTATTCTTTCAGGCAAGGATATTGAGGCTCAGAGATAAAATAATATGCTCAAGTCCTGGTGAAAGCAAGATTTAAATCTTGGTCTAGATCTAGAGACTGGACACTTAATGATTTCCTGACTGGGTCCTTTAGAGACTCCTGTCTTTTATCAAATACATCTTGGTTAAAAATCCAAGGTTGTGATAGATATCATCTTTGAAGTGAAGAACTCTGACATCTCTCAAAACATTTCAGATAGGACAGACCATCACTTCAGGTCACTTCATTTTGGAAATTATTCTGTTCAATGCCATAAAAATCTGCTGTTACTTTTTATTTAGAAGGACAGTTTTACAATCAGAGCAGCTTGCCAAGTGAGAACAGGTGTACGTAGATTCAAGTTTTTCTGCAGGGAGCTGGTATTTGATCATGTTAATGAAATTCAACGTAATTACAAAACAAGCTTGGATGAAGAAATGTTGAGGGTCTGCCAAATAACAGTGAATTAGACAATCATAGTTGAATAATGGCATTGATCTAGAATTAAACGGACCTTCAAAATAGGTGAAGATACTTTTTTTTTTTTTTTTGAGACAGAGTCTCACTCTTTTTGCCCGGGCTAGAGTGAGTGCCGTGGCATCAGCCTAGCTCACAGCAACCTCACACTCCTGGGCTCAAGCGATCCTTCTGCCTCAGCCTCCTGAGTAGCTGGGACTATAGGCATGCGCCACCATGCCCGGCTAATTTTTTCTATATATTTTTAGTTGTCCGATTAATTTCTTTCTATTTTTAGTAGAGACAGGTCTCGCTCTTGCTCAGGCTGGTTTCGAACTCCTGAGCTCAAACAATCCGCCCGCCTTGGCCTCCCAGAGTGCTAGGATTACAGGCGTGAGCCACCGCGCCCGGCCGGTGAACATACTTCTTATGCTTATAAACTGAAACCCAATAGCTGGAAGTGTCCTCATCTTTAACTTTTAGCCAAAGCTAATTTCTATAAAGCTACTGGGTGTTACACGAAAGTTAGGAAGTCTCCATTTTCATATTAAACAGTTCTGCATGCCAAATTTTATAGTAATACACTCCGTATATATGAGTAGAATTGTAGTTATTCACTATACTTATTACAAATAAGAAGTCTAGTTAGCAGGAGTTAGATAATGTATTTGAAAGGAAGTAGCTGAAATCTTGGTAACAGAAATATGGTAAGCCATGATCCTGTAAAATCCATCTCATCCAATAACTTAGAGTTTTATTTAATTTGTGAAACTTAATTAAATAATTAATTTAGTTATTAAGTTAGTTAGCTGGTTCAAGAAATGTTTAGGTATTTGTATTTTTTTCCTTTTTAAAAGCAACTTTGACATTATATTTTTATATGTGTTATGCTTATGAAGAAGAGCAACTTCTGATGAATTCTTGCCTGAATTTTCATTTTTTGGAAAAATTCTGAGAAAGAAATCAGTGAAGCTGCCACGTATGATTTGATGATCTTTTTTCTCTTACATCTGACTGAATTTTACTGGTAGCTTTTCTATTGCTTCATCCTAAAAATGTAATGAGACATAATCCAACACAGCTATCATATTATAGCTTAGGCACTTGATAGCATACACGTGTGCTATTTTCCACTCTTACATGTTTATTAGTAAGAAGTTAGTGTTTAGTAAATGTGAATAAATAAATTGAATCTTGTGGAAATATTTGTTTGAATCAAACTTGTAGATTTTAATAGAGTATGGAGGTGAAGAATTGATACACCAAATCAACAGAACCAAGAGTCAAAACTGTTTTAACAGGCTGCAGACAGTAAAATAAAATGGGGCTGTAGTCAGTAAAATCAAATGCAACAGTGTTAAAGGTAAAATCTTGAATTCACCTTAAAATGGCATTTTTAGAGAGTATAGAATACCTGAGAGGTGTGGCATTATAGCAATTAATGTAAAAACACTTTGAAGGAGGGGGTGATTCTTTATCACTATTTTAGTGTAGTTAAAAACCCATGCTATTGTTTAGAAAACACTGTTGAGTAAAGAGTGCTAAGAAGAAATCATCCCACCATATTCTGCATGAGTCACATCTCATTTGGATTCTTATAGTTATTTTGGGGGGTGGAGTAAAAGTAAAGAGTAAAAAAAAGGCAAAAGATAAGGAGAAAAACAAGAAAACTATTACATTAAGGTGGTTACAGGTAAAAACCAGGAGGAGGATGTCTTAGGAAGCTACCTTCTGAGAAAGCCTTGGTTTGCCTAGTATGACCACCTGAAAAATTTAGCCAGACATGACAGATTGCCAATTATGTTATCAATAATAATGTAGAAAAAATATATTAACTTTTCCTCTTTGGAGACAGTGTTTTAGTCCACGTTCATTGGGGCTAGGATGTTCTAGTTTCAAATCTTAGATATATATTTTACTAATTTTATGGTTATAAGTAATTCACTTAAATTAGCTGAGTGTTGGTAAAGAGGTATTTTTGTAAGGCAATTAAATTAGACAATTAATTTACGTAATACCTGATACAGGGTAGGCATTCGATGAATGACACCAGCTGGTCATATTTCACTGGTCAAGATGGCAGAATTGCTATCAAGAGGCAGACATTATAGGGAAGCATATTTCACCTTAATATAAAAACATCCTTCAATTATCTATAGTTGAATTTTAAACTTGTGGACTTTTTTTTTTTTAAATAACCATTAGGAGAGGATTCCTGCAATTGTAGATTCCCACAATGGTGGTGAGCTAGAGAAAATGTTTTAGTGCTCTATCATCTCTGATTTTATGATTGTCAGATATCATGTACATGGGCAAATCTAGATAAGGAATTACTTTGAAAAAAATAATTCATGAATATAAATGAATGTACTTAATACTTTAAGCTTGCCTTTCTTTCTTATACAAGCATAAGAGAAGGAACTGTAAAATGTAAGTTTAAAGTGAGAGGCCACAAGCATGAGATCTGAGTACAGAGTAAGATGCGGAGAATTTGCTGTCAATAGACTTTTTAGATTGAGACCTTCCACATTGGCCGGTACTGCTATTATATAGGATGAGGACTTCAGACAAATAAGATATCTCTTCCAATTCAGGGAGTAAAATTTTAGAGACATGCAAAGAATAAAATTAATTTCAACAATTAATATTTATTGACTATTACTATATGTCTGCCATCAAAGCGTTTACACTAGAGGGGATAATGGACATATAAGCTGACTATAAAATTTTGAGTACAAGGGATAGGGTGCCAATAAAGAATATTCAAAAATGAT